CCCGTCTTGGCCTCCCAAAGTGCTGGGATTACAGGTGTGAGCCACCGCGCCCAGCCTTCATGTTTCACAAACTTTTAAATGTTGTTGATGCTGTGGTGCTTGGACTATACTTTAAATAGTAAAGTAGAGGAGGAGATACAAAGGTTAGAAATGAATGTTGAAGTTACCTATTTTGTATACCTCCTAAGGGTCCAGAAAGATACTTTCTTCTCCAAGGCAGCAAGAACACATTAGTGAGGGGAATGCTAACTCCTTGAAAAGCACTATGTGGCTTCTTTACTAGGCTAGAAATGAGATTGTGAGATGCTTACTTGGGACTGGGCAGCCTTATTTCAAGGTGAATGATAGAATTCTTGTGTGGTAGAGGACAGGTGTTAGCACCTAACCATGAGTGATAAGGTGAATGAAATTACTATGAAAGCTGTGGGGATGAGTGGTAATCATGTGCTTTGCCCACAGGAATATGTGTGGGTAGCTAATCAATCATGGTGTCCCTAGTAATGAAATAGACAGACAGCTTACTAATGTTCTACTTCACCCATATCAATGGAAAAATTCTAGACCTGATAAGCAGAAACTTGATTCTCAAGTTATATTAAGGATTTACAGTTTTACTCAATTCCTAGACTTAAGCCAGTTTCCCAGAACTGAATCCTCTTGATTAGGTGGGGGGCTGGGAGATCCTGGATCTCTTTCACAGGCAGATTCTATAAATCTTCCTCTTAGTCGGTGTTTTTCAAGATGTGGTAAAATTTCTAAGCTATGGAGATGGGGACAAGCTGAAAAATAGTCATCTAGGGCATAATTAAAGAGCACTTTGGGTTTTAGAGGCAATATATACAGTATTTATATGTACTACTGTAAAATGTTGACTGGATATTGCATAAAGCTCATAAAGCTGACAGTTTTGAATGAGGTCCAGGCTCCAGGGAAAGTGCCTGCTGCTCTGGCTGAATGAACCACAAATCCAGTGAACTTAACATTGACTGTGGCAGATAAGGGGGCTGTAAGAGCCCCAGTAGGAGAATTACAGCAAAGAACCTTAGTGTAATGGAATAAGGCCATGCTTCTTCTGCTAACAGTTCTTTTCTATTTGAAAAGCAGCTCCTGATATGCCTTGGGGCCCTGGTCTAAAACTCAGATTATAGTTCATCCAGTGACAATGTGACCTAAGGGTGCTATCTAAGCAAATCCTATAGTTGGATATGAACAGTAATATTCATTATGAAATGGATTGAATATATAAGACCAGACCTTAGAAGTTTCAGAAAGTTTGAATAAAAGCATGGCCAGATGGCTTGGATTCCTACTTGTGTTGTTTTCTGCTCCTTCCTCTGATCACATTTATGGCTTCATGGAGATGTTCTCTACAAACAGTTAACAGAGGGTCTGTAAGGTATGCTGGCATTAGCTGAAAGAGACAGCTGATTACAGCCCCATCCAGGGATGTCCCTGAAAGACAGTGGTTAAGGGAAGTCCTCTCAGTGGGCGGAATTTGGGACAGTACACTTGGCATACACTTTGCCTAGAAGAGGAGATGGTGTGAGGTTTGGAGCTACACTAATTCATGTGCAGTGGCTGCCTACAACAACCTTGCTTTCACCTCTGTAAGTGGTCCCTTCACTAAATTCTTTTCCATTAACCTTTTTGAGCATGCCATTTGTTTCCTGACAAGATCCTAAATAACACAATCGTATAGTGCAAAGCTGGCAGAGAGGTTTCAATTCAATTTCAATACCTTCTGCCTGGAGTGCCTATTGGGAAAGATCCTGAGAATCAGCAGGAAAGTGTGAAGTATTGAAATAATAATAAAACAAGGCATTTGTTCCACATTCATTCAATAATGTGGAACATTATTGTGTGCCTCCTGTGTGCCAGACACTGTGCTTGGCACTGAGATACTGCATTAAGCACAACAGACACATGTTCCTGCTCTTGCAGAGTTGTTATGCTAATGAAAGAGACAGAAAATAAGCAAACAAGATGGCAATAAGTGCTAAGTGCTAAGTTCTATGAGGAAAAATAAAGAAGGCAAGAGGGATAGGGAGTATTGAGGGAGGGTGTTATTTTAAATAAGGCAGTCAGGAAAACCTTCACTAATGACATTTGAGCAGAGAGCTGACCTGAAGAAGGTGAGGGAGAAATCCATGCAGAGATCTGGGGGAAGATGTCCTAAGTAGAGAAAACAGTAAGGGCAAAAGGCTGGAGGCAAGAGTGTGTTGAAAGAATAGCAAGGAGGCCAAAAGGGGAGGGTGGTAGGAGATATACAGTCAGATAATAACAGGGACCAGATAGCACAGGGTTTTGTAAGCTATTGTTATATTCTGCTGAGTGAGATGGGGAGCCATTGGCAGGTATTGAACAAAAGTGTGACATGATCTGACATAAACTCTCTTTAGCCGTTGAATGGAGAATAGACTAAACTGGGGCAAGACTGGAAGCAGGGAGACCAGGGTGGAAGCTGTTGCAACAAGCCAGAGAGGAGATGACGGTGCTTGGAGTTGGGGAGAAGTGCTCAGATTCTGGAAACAAATTTTGCTGAGGTGTTCAGCATAGGATATGAGAGAGAGAAGAAGAGAGAATACTGCGAGGTTTTTGACTTGAGAAACTTGGATAGAATTTTAGTTAACAAGATGAGGATGATGGAAGAGGAGTGGGTTTGTGGGGAGATCAGAACCCTGGCATTGACTTAGGTTGAAGTTGCATGTTGGGCATATTAATGGAAATGTTAAGTAGGTGGCCGGGATGAGTCTGGAGTCCAGGGAAGAGATTCTAGCTGAAGAAACAAATCTGGGAGTAAATGGATGGTATTTAAAGGCAAAAGACAATGAGGTTGCCAAGAGAGTGAGGGTAGATAGAAGAGGTCCAAGTTCTAAGTCCTAGACCTCGCCAACATGAAGGAAAAGAGGAATCAGGGAAGGAGGTGGCAGTCAGGGTGTTAAGAAGGTACCCACTATCATTGCAAAAAGGGAAAGGACACAGGCCCGGTGGATGAAGAGCTTAAGGCACCTATCCACAGCTGTTGGTTTAGATAATCCAATGGGGGTGAGGGACTGGAGGTCAGGGAGATGTTTGAAACAGTTTCTGACCACAGGTACAGAGCCATCAGCGCTACGGGCGTGCTTCGCTGTGTTCACCCTCTTCCCAGCCAAGTCGACTTTACGGGGTTCTTGGTTCAGCCTGAGCCCTGGGAATCTTGTTCCAGCTTAGGGCAGCCCACTCAGCCCAGTTTAGCCTCGTCCTCCTCCAAGGAGCCTGCCCAACTTTCTTGCTCCCAGGTCTGGCCAAATCCCTGCCCCAGAGATAGGAGATCCTGAATGTGGGCTAACTAGCCATTGGGGAAGGGGAGTGAGGGCAGATGGGCCTGGGAAGTCAACCAAGTCCGTGGTGGGGGTGGGGATGGGGGTGGCGGTGGGTGAATGATTGTAGAGGACTCTGAGTAGATGCTTAGTAAGTGCGTGTCGCATGCATGAATGTGCATATTCCGAGCGGTGCCTGTGGGACTGTGCGCGACTGGGGTGTGTGTACGGGTGTGTGTCCGCGCCCGTGAGCGTGCCCATGCGTCTCCCCTCCTCGGCCTGCAGGGGGCGCCCCGAGCCTGGGAAGGGAGGTTCTGGAGTGGGGCGCGGCTCCGGCAAAGGGGTGGGCGCTTGCGGCGGTGACTCCGCGTGCTCCTCAGAGAGGTTGGGGGGCACAGGCGTCCAAAGTCTCTGGGTCTGGAACAGCCTCTGGAGACCCCCGGTTTCCTGGCCCCGCCGTCCCTGGGGTCCCCGCGCGCGGGCCGGGTGTATGGAGGGGTGGCTCGGGCTGTGGGTAGTGGCCCCGCCGTCCCACCAAACCCCGGCCACCCAGTCCCCCGAGCCCCAGTGTCCTCTGCCGGACCGGCCAAGTCCTGTGGCCGGGGGAAGGCCCGTGTTGGTCGGCGAATATGAAACATTTATCCTTCCCTCTCACGCCCCAAATATTCCCGATTTACCCAGAGTCCAAGGTGCCCAATGTTGAAGACTTGAAATAATAACTGTTTGGCTTAAAGTCTGAACGAAGGTTCACATCACCTCAGGCACTTCCTCGCACCCGATAGATATCTTACACCACTCATTACAGCGCCAACGCTAAGAAAGGTTTCCTTATTCCACGGAAATGTATTGAGATGCTAACCGTGTGCAAGGCGCAAGGCTCGGGGCAGGAGGATGAAGGGCGATAGCCTGACACAGGCGGAAAAGGACCTTGTCTTGCTCATAAGTGGACATAGAGGAACGCGCAACTTTTGGCCTAGAATGAGACATATGTGAGGACAAATCATAAAAATAATGGAAAACAAATAGTCCCAGAAATATGAAAGAAATAACAGAAAATTCAATGCCCACGCCTGGTTTGCTTTTAGAAAACAGACTGCTGCCTCCTAGTGCCCGAGCGGAGCAGTAAGCGCCTCCCAGCCGGCGGAGGCTCACATTGGGCAGAGGATATTCCCAGCAGAAGCTTGTCGAAAGTGGTGTTCAGTTATTCTCTTAATATTGGATTGAAATTTATTATTACCACAATCCATGGTTCTAAAGCAGAAGCCTCAAAGAATATGGTAACAGAGTTTCTCTGGGGTGTTTTAGTTTGCTGCCAACTGATTGTCTTGAAGACAATGGAGCTTTCAGCTACTTGACATAGCAATAGACTTAGGTTACCAAGGTCACAAGGTCATATAATTCCCCTTAAAGTAGACACTACTAGAAGAATTACAAATATAGGCCTGCGGCAGTGGCTCATGCTGGAGGATCCCTTGAGACCAAGAGTTGGAGGCTGCAGTGAGCTATTATTGCACACTGCACTCCAGCCTGGGCAACAGAGGAAGACTCTGTTCTCAAAAAAAGATATACAAATACAGGCATTAGAAAAAAAGAGGCTTGGCAACTTCAGCATCCATAAAATGGTAATCCAGCCCAAGACTGAATCAGGCAAAGGATAAAAATGTTGATGATTTTAACAAAACAGCATCATTTTGTCCCCAGATACAAGGAAAAGTAACACCTGGATGTGAAAAAGAAAAAGAACTTCACAAAGGATGCTCGCTGAAGCTTAAGACATGTTTCGCAGGTAAGTGATTACAGCTGGGAAACGAATTAATATGACCTTTCATAGACATCAAGCGACAGACCCCACCCCTCTGACTTTCACGAGGTCATTTGGCATGGTAGAGGATACCTAGTGTATCAAATGTGTTGTTCTGGTAGTCCTGTAATTAAAAAAAATTTTTTTTAGATGGAGTCTTGCTCTGTCGCCCAGGCTGGAGTGCAGTGGTGTGATCTCAGCTAGCTGCAACCTCTGCCTCCCAGGTTCAAGCAATTCTCCTGCCTCAGCCTCCTGAGTAGCTGGGATTACAGGCATGCGCCACCACACCTGGCTAATTTTTGTATTTTTAGTAGAGATGGGGTTTCACCCGTGTTGGCCAGGCTGGTCTTGAACACCTGAACTCGTGATCCGCCCGCCTCGGCCTCCTGAAGTGCTGGGATTACAGGCGTGAGCCACTGCTCCCAGCCCATAATTTTTAATTTTTAACAGAAAGATATCAAAAGAAAGAAGCCAACAGTTGTTGGTAATCACATTCCTCTAAAAGAATATGGTTGATGAGCAGGAATTGCAGCCAGCCAGAGTGTGGCCCAGGTATCATGAAGGGAGGGGTTCTTAAGAAACCTAGTTGCTTACTCTAAAAAAGTTTTTTGTGGGCTGCTCTGCTTAAGGAGCAACCATTCTTTTATTCCTTTACTTTGTTAATAAACTTGCTTTCACTTAAAAAAATTTTTTTTATAATAAAATGTAGAGATAGGGTCTCACCATGTTGCTCAGTCTGGTCTCAAATTCTTGGGCTCAAGCCATTCTCCCACCTCTACCTCCCAAAGTGCTGAGATTACAGGTGTGTGCCACCATGCCCAGCCAACTGCTTATTTTGGAATTGGTTTCAGGTTTATAGGACTGACAGGCCGTTAAGATTGTTTGTTTGTTTGCCTGTTTTTCACTACAGCCTCAAACTCCTGGGCTCACGAGATCCTCCCACTTCAGCCTCTCAAAGTGTTTGGATTACAGGTATGAGCCTGGCTCCTGGCCTGAGGTTAAGATCTATTTGATCTATGGCCACCACCTGAAGTACTCAGTTGAGTGGGCAAGGCCGAAGAAGAGTCCTGTGGAATGCAGTGTTACTGCCGGACGGGGCAGGGCAGGGCAGGGCAGTGTTGTGCTGTGCTGTGCCTTCGAGCTCCTGACTACAGGGACTCCACGTCCCCACACTCAAAAAGACTCAGCTCACCCAATGAGAGAATGTAACTTGTAGAATGTATAATTGTTGAATAATTAGTTTTATTAAGGCTGTCTCAAGTATGTGATGTCTTCATCATAGCATAATATAAAGAATTAATAGCTAGCCTAGTTTAGGAAAAAGCTGCTTAAAACTGGCTCTAAGACAGTAATCCTAAAATACCTTAGATAAAATTACGCTATGGAAAAAAAAAATCTATTTGCTCAAATTTTTTTTTTTTAAGATGGGGTATTGCTCTGTCACTCAGGCTGCTGTGGTGTGATCATAGCTAACTGTACCCTCAAACCCCTGGGCAATCAAGTGATCCTCCCACCTCAGTCTCCAAGTTGCTAGGACAATAGGCACGTGCTATTGTGCCTGACTAATCCTTCCCTTCCCTTTCCTCCCCTTTCCCTCTCCCTCCCCCTCCCCTCCCCCTCCCCTCCCCCTCCCTCTCCCCGTCCCCTCCCTTCCCCCTCCCTGTCCCCTCCCTTCCCCCTTCCCTCTTTCTCCCTCCCCTCCCCCTCCCCTCCCTCCCCCCTCCCTCCCCTCCCCTCCCTTCCCTTCTCTTCCCTTCCTTTCTGTGTGTGTGTGTGTGTGTGTGTGTGTGTGTGTGTGTGTAGAGACAGGGGTCTTGCTTCGTTGCCTAGGCTGGTCTCAAACTCTCGGCTTCAAGCCATCTGCCCACCTCAGCCTCCCAAAGTTCTGGGATTATAGGCATGAGCCACCATGCCCAGCTTCTTTACTAGTCCTGCCTATCCTTTATATTTGTATCAAAGAAGCCCTTAAAATATTGACAAGGAAGGAGTGAACCAGAAGAAGCAGGAGGAGATTCGGAGGCAACACTGACAAGTAGGAGTCATCCTGTGATTTCATTAAGTGTGTGTATGTTATCGTTTCATGGAAGAGATAGTGGTGAAATTATTTAAAAACATGGTATGGCCAGGCACAGTGGCTCATGCCTATAATCCCAGCACTTTGGGAGGCCAAGGTGGGAGAATCCTTTGAGCTCAGGAGTTTAAGACCAGCCTGGGTAACATAGTGAGATCTCATCTCTACAGAAAGTGAAAAAAATTAGCTGGGCATGGTGGTGTGTGCCTGCAGTCCTACCTACCCAAGAGGCTGAGGTGGGAGGATCATTTGAGCCCAGGAGATTGACTGCAGTGAGCTGAGATCAAGCCACTCGGTTCAGCGTGGGTGACAGAGTGAGACTCTATTTCAAAAAAGGAACGAATAAAAACAACAAAAATACATGGTCTGTCGCCCAGGCTGAGGGGGACTCATTGTTAGAAAATAGTGATAACTGAGAAAATGAAACACCGCATATTCTCACTCATAGGCGGGTGATGAAAAATGAGAACACATGGACTCAGAGAGGGGAGTACTAAACACTGGGGTCTATTGGGGGGAAAAGGGGAGGGCCAGTGGGAGGGGGAAGTGGGGAGGGATAGCCTGGGGAGAAATGCCAAATGTGGGTGAAGGGGAGAAAGCAAACAAAACACACTGCCATGTGTGTACCTATGCAACTGTATTGCATGCTCTGCACATGTACCCCAAAACCTAAAATGCAATAAAAAAAAAAAAAGAAAATAGTGATAACTGACTTATAAAGCAATGAAGTGCATCTGTGATTCTGTGATAAAGAAAAATCAGGATTCCAGGGATTACAATGAGTTTTCATGCTTAAGGAATGAAGATTTTGTAGATTTTAGATATAATTCATTTTCAGGATTTTTTTTGTTTTTACATTTTAACAGAAGTTATTGTTTTCCTGTTGGACACCTGCATATGAATATTCAGTAAATGTGAATTTTTTACTGTATTAATGAATAAGACATTAGAAAGACTTCATATTTATAACTTTATTTTATGCTTTGTACCTATTTTTTTTTTTCTGAGACAGAGTTTCGCTCTTGTTGCCCAGACTGCAGTGCAATGGCATGATATCCGCTCACTGCAACCTCTGCCTCCTGAGTTCAAGCAATTCCATTGTCTCAGCCTCCCGAGTAGCTGGGAGTACAGGTGCATGCCACCATGCCCAGCTAATTTTTGTATTTTTAGTAGAGACAGGGTTTCTTCATGTTGGCGAGGCTGCTCTTGAACTCCTGACCTCAGGTGCTCTGCCCTTCTCGGCCTCCCAAAGTGCTGGGATAACAGGCGTGAGCCACCGTGCCTCACTTGTACCTATTTTTATTGAATATTTACTTGTCTCAGCAGTAGGCTTTTAGAAAGTTACCTTTATCTCCTCTTCCATTTGGGCCCTTGTGGGTTTATGCCTTTATTTTATTTTTTTACAATTAATTTGTTTTCTTTGAGATAGGGTCTCTCACTTTTTAACCCAGGCTACATGGCTCCCAGGCTCAAGTGATCCTCCCACCTTAGCCTCCCTAGCTAGCAACTGGCACCACAGGCACACACCACCACACTGGTTACTTTTTTTGATTTCTTTTGTACAGATGAGGTCTCACTGTGTTGCCCAGGTTGGTCTGAAACTCTTGAACTGAAGTGATCCTTCTGTCTTGGCTTCCCAAAGTGTTGGGATTACAGGTGTGAGCCACCATGCCCGAACTTGGTTTATGCCTTTACACATACACATGCACCAAAAACATTTGCTGTAGTTTTAGTTGGGGCTCAGGGAGATGTGAAAATAAAGGCATGTAATTAATTTTCCATCCCTACCCTGAACTCCCACTTGTTTTGAATTTAATGGTGTTGATCATTTCTCTTATGATTCATATTTTATGGTTTCATATCTTGTTTAAGAAGCTCTTTTTGGCCAGGCACAGTGTCTCATACCTGTAATCCCAGCACTTTAGGAGGCCAAGGCGGGTGGATTGCTTGAGCCCAGGAGTTCAAGACTAGCTTGTGCAATATAGTGAGACTGTGTCCCTATTTTATTAAAAAACAAAGTTCTTTTATACCTTGAAGTTATAAACACATTTACCTATATTTTCTTCTATGTGTATCTTAAACATTTATGTTTTGAATCCATCTTATATGATGAAGAATTTGAAAGGCAATGTCAAGATAGAGGTACTTTTAAAAAGGGAAGGGCATTAGAACCTTTAAGAAAAACAAAAAGCTGAGTGACAAAGGAAAAGTGTAGTACTTTGGTCTGCAGAGAACATTTATATAGTCAAAAAATGTAATATGTGATAATACATATTATGTAATAGTAATCCACAATAATATAAACTGTAATTACAATCTAAATATGATAATATAATCATGATCTAAATATCATGGTATGACTATATTTAGAGGATGCAGTGACAGGAGAGGAGAGTTGGCAAGAGAGTTAAATCTTCACTTTTTATAGTAGGAAGTCATCTGGTAATGTTTAAAATAGGTATATCAAGAAACAGAGGTATAGGCAAAGTACTTAGACATATGGCACTAAGAATTAGCGTTAGAGTTGTAGGAAATGATGTTATTCAGAATAAGCCTTTTGGTACTTTTTGATATATTTTTTAACTATGAGTATGTATTGTGTGATTTTTTTAAAATTATGCATCAAGAGCAGAAGAGAAAAAAGAGAGAAAGCAGGATGATATTGTCAAAGATGAAGGCAGACAAGGAGAGTGGACACTCATTATCTGACTGATTATATAGTATGTTGCATGGCTACTCAGAGCAGAATTCGAGGCAAATATCAGGCATGCAAGTGTGGCAGGAGAATTTAGTGAAATAGGGAGTTTTGTTTTTTTTTCTGCCTCTGTTTTTCTTTTCACTTCAGAGTAGGCAAGAGTTTTGGCAGGGCTGAGAGTGATGTCCTGATGTCAAAGGCTCTTGTGCCTTTTGTGAATGTCTTAAACCAGGGGAAAATGCCAGGAATAGAGGCTTACACCTGTAATCCCAGCTACTTGGAGCTGGAGGCAGGAGGATCCCTTGAGCCCAGGAGTTTGAGGTTACAGTGAGCTATGCTCCTACGATTGCACTCCAGCCCAGATCACAGAGCAAGCCCCGTGTCTTAAAAAAATAAAAATTAAAAAAAAAAAAGTAAACCTGGGGAGGAGGTTATGCTGTGGAGGGGCTTAGGAGAGGGAGAGAATTCTTTAATACTGTGAAGGGATTAGTATGTACATCCAACCAGAGTGGTCACTGGGCTCTAATTTCTGGCTGTGATGAGGCAAGTGACAGGACTCTGAATAGATGGCTGCAGGGGGTATCTGGGTAGGGTAGGTCCAAGCCCAAGGGCTGTCATATCTGAATTCCCATGTCTCAAGTGTGGAGTCTAGGACTTGAAAAGATATACCTGCTGGAACCACAGGGGTCAGAGCACCCACTGGTGAGACTGCTGTCCAATGATGGGATGGTGTGGGAGGCAGTTAGGAGGCCTCCCCTAGACCTTGAGGTTTCTGTGACCTTTGCATAACCCTTGGCAGATGGGATCCCCCAAGAGTGCCTGATGTTGAATTTCTCATCAGCACTCTAGTGCGGTAGCTTGGAGTAGGAATTAGGTTCATTTAAAGAACATTCAAAATGTAGTATTTCTCGCATATCTGAGCTTATAGATTAATTTCACACCTGCTGCCCTAGGACAGGTATGGGGGAGTCCCTGTCCTCACCTGCCACTAGAGGAGCAGACAAGCCTATACTTGAGGATGTTAGGATAGGTGGTAAGTGCTGTGGCATATTCAGATTCCTGTGGAAGGAAAAGGTGATGGAGCAGCCACTTCTAGCTTCAGAGGTCCCTCCCTTTCTTGTCCTTCCCCAGGATCTGTTCCCTTCCTTCTCACATTGCCTGGCCCAATCCGCGGGCCTCTTCTCTCCCTGCCTGGAGGTGAGCAGGGGAATAGAAGGGTCTTCACTCTGGGGAGGAAGAGGTAGAGGAGAGCCACCCAGATGGCTCCTTCCAGGAGAAGAGACTGATTCACATCTGAGTCCTGGGGTTCCAAAGACCTGCCCCAGAAGACTTATTCCTTGACTTTGAAAGGTTTAAGGGGCTAAAATAGTTTGGGTCCCAGTCAGGAAAAAAAAAAGGAGGAAAAAAAAGGGAGGCGGTTTTTCCATCTGGAAGGAGGCTGAGGGAGTCTGGGGGCCCAGATAGGAATAGGAGAACACAACAACCCTGTTAAACAAAGAGGAGAGGTTGAGGCCTGAGCTTCATTGATTAGGGCTGAAGCAAGTCCTCTTGGGTCTTTGCCTCCCAGGAGCTCTCTGAGGGCTGGAGCTGTGCTAGGGTAGGTTTCAATAGAACTTGTGTTTGGGCCAGGCATGGTGGCTCATGCTTGTAATCCCAGAACTTTGGGAGGCTGAGGCGGGCAGCCTCAGGAGTTTGAGACCAGACTGGCCAACATGGTGAAATCCCATCTCTACTAAAAATACAAAAATTAGCTGGGTGTGGTGGTGCATGCCGGTAATCCAGCTACTAAGGAGGCTGAGGCAGGAGAATTGCTTGAACCTGGGAGGTGGAGGTTGCAGTGAGCCAAGATCGCACCACTGCACTCCAGCCTGGGCAACAGAGCAAGACTCTGTCTCAAAAAAAAAAGAACTTGTGTTTGTCTGTGTTATAGATGGGCCCAGGCCACAGCTTCCCTCCTGGGGACCCTTCCGAAGAACTACTTGGAGGGTCTCATTGAATAGGTCCCAGGGAAAGGAGAGGAAATCTCTGGGATATCTGGGAAAAGATCTGAAGATCTCAGAGGCCTGCAGAGCTGTTGGGGGTGTGTGCTCCATGTCTACCATCTCTCCATTGGTAGGATTCCTCAGAAGACCAGGTCCCACCCTGTCCATCAACATCTTTGACTGCCCAGGAGTGCAGGCACCTGAGAGGCAAGGGAACTCTTGGGGTAGATGGGAACATAGCATTTGTCAGCCTGAGTTTTTGGCTCAGAATGTGTGACCCCACCCCGTAGGGACTTCGGCATCCCAGTGGACACAAACACATAGGAACGGGTAGTTGGGTGGGAGGCCAGAACAGCTTTTTATTTAGTTTGGTATAAGTTGTATTTATAAGGAAGAGGCGGGGTACACTGGGGAGCAGGATCAGGTCCAGAGTCCCAGTGATTCTCCTTCGAGGGGACAGTCCTGCTGCCTCCTCTCATGCTCCCTGGGAGACTCTCCCTCCTTGGCCTCTCTGGGACTGGCCTGGTGTGGGTAGAGCTGGGAATGCAGCCATGCAGGGTAGAGCTGGGAATGCAGATGGGGTTGATGAAGGAGGAGAAAGAGTGTGGCAAGGCTAGCATGGGGTGGCTGCTCTGGGGCCCCTGAGCATAGCCTCCTTCTTGCCTCTTGGGTTCAGGCTTCAAGCCCTGGTGAGGCTGGTAGGGTCTCTAGGGCTCCAGGCTGCTCACTGGGCTATGGCCCTTTAGGGGTCTGTGACTGCTCAGTCCTGTGAGGGCAGAAGAGGGGTGTGAGGGGCTGATTGAGGCTCCCCTTTACCCATATCCTTTCATATTCCTCACCTCTTGCAGCCTTTGGAGCCCTTTCCCTTCTTGCCAGTCTTGGGGGCCCCCCTGTCCTTCCTGCAGTTCTGGGGTGGTTTCCGTGGGGCTGGTGTCTTGTCCAGATGCTGCATCAGCTGCTGCACCCAGGGCTCCTTCGGGTCTGCACATAGCTCTGGCTGAGAGCGCTTGCGGGGCAAGAATCTGAGGGTGCGGGGGGAGGGCGGTTAGTAAGCCTTCTTGGTCTTACCCACCATGCCCTCCCCACCCAGTCGCCAGCCTGTACCAACCCCTCTGTGTCTACTCACAGGATAGCTGGGATGGAGCAGCCTAAGCTTGGTTCCTGTTTTCGGTAGCCACGGACAACCTTGGCGGGAATCTTCCTTAGGCTGTACCTGAGGCAGCAGTCCTGAGCCCCTCCATCACTGCCTGCAGGGTGGGATTCACAGGGAGCCAGGGGCTGCTTTCAAGCTCCTACCCAGGCCTCTTGATCCCCTTAGCCCCATCCAAGGCCCCTCCCTGCACCTCCCTGTACCTTGGGTCCTGGGGATGCCAAAGGCCAGAACCAGGATAAGGAGGCTCAGAGCTAGCGACTGAGCCATGGCTGTGGTAGAGGGTGAGTAAGAGGCCAGAGTTGTGGGCGAGGTGGGCAGCCGCAAGTTGGGGGTCTGTGCGTGGGCTGGGATTGGCCTGCTATTTATGTAGTAGATACTTTCACTTCCCTTATCCTATCCCCACTCCTTTTCCTTCCTGAAAAGGAAGATCTGCTGGCACCAGCCCCACTTATCTCGAACTAAGTGGGGACAGTTGCCAAATTTTATGTCATTTGTTGAATCTGTCTGGACTGAGCCTTCCTTCTATTCCCAGCTACTGCTTTCATGCAGACCTCACTGCCTCTCCCCTGGAACACCATGACTGTCTCCTCACTATGTTCCAGGAGCCATACCCTTTCCCTCCTTTCAGCAAATCTAATTATTAAGTTGTAAGAGTTCTTTTTTTTGAAACAAGGTTCAACTCTGTCACCCAGGCTGGAGTGCAGTGGTGTGATCATGGCTCACTGAAATCACCGCCTCCTGGGCTCAAGTGATCCTCCCACCTCAACCTCCCCAGGAGCTGCAACTACAGGCAAGCACCACTGCGCCTGGCTAATTTTTCTGGTTTTTTTTTTTTTTTTTTTTTTTTTGTGTGTGTGTGTGTGTGTGTAGACGAGGTTTCTCCATGTCTAGCCCAGGCTAGTCTTGAACTCCTGGGCTCAAACGATCTGTCTGCCTCAGCCTCTTGAGGAGCTGGGACCACAGGCATGTGACACCACGTCTGGCTACTGTTTTAATTTTTTTTTTTCTAGAGATGAGGTCTTGCTATGTTGCCCAGTCTGGCCTCGAACCCCTGGGCTCAAGTGATCCTCCTGCCTTGGCCTCCCAAAGTGCTGGAGAGTGACTGCCCCTGGTCTGTAGCATACCATTTTGTTTCCTTTTTGTTTTCCTTTTCTATGTATTTATTTTGTAGTTATTTTCCTAATGGATACCTTGGTGATTATAATTAACATTCTAAACTTATAACAACCTAGTTTGAATAATACCAACTTAGTTTCAATACTATATAAACACTTTGCTCCTATACATTTTAGTCCCTTCTTTGTATTGTTATTGTCACAGATTACATCTTCATACATTGTGTCCCTGTTGACATAGATTTATAATTATTGCTAAATACATTTGCCTTTTAAATTATATAGAAAATAGTGGAGCTACAAACTAAAAATACAATACTAGCCTTTATGTTTTTGTTTTTTTTTCTTTGACACAGGGTCTCGCTTTGTCACCTAGGCTGGAGTGTGGAGGCACGATCTCAGCTCACAGAAGCCTCGAACTCCCAGGCTCAAGTGATCTCTCCACCTCAGCCTCCCGAGTAGCGGGGCCACAATACCTGGCTAATTTTTGTATTTTTTGTAGACACAAGGTCTCACTATGTTGCCCACGCTGGTCTCAAATGTCTGAGCTCGAACAATCCACCCGCTTTGGCCTCCTAAAGTGATAGGATTACAAGTGTGAAGCACCACACCTGACTATGTTGTCACTTTCTTTTTTTTTTGAGGCAGTCTCACTCTTTTGCCCAGACTAGAGTACAGTGGGGTGATCTTGGCTCACTGCAACCTCCGCCCCCCGGGGTTTAAGACATTCTCCTGCCTCAGCCTCCCAAGTAACTGGGATTATAGGCATCCACCACCACATCCATCTAATGTTTCTGTTTTTTGTAGAGATGGGGTTTCACCATGTTGGCCAGACTGGTCTCAAACTCCTGACCTCAAGCGATCTGCTCACTTTGGCTTCCCAAAGTGCTGGGATTGCAGGCACAAGCCACTGCACACAGCCTGCTATGTCGTTATCTTTATCAGAGACCTTTGTTTATTTTCCTGGCTGTGAGTTATTATTTTTTTGTCCTTTTGTTTCATTCTGAAGGTCTCCTTTTAGCATTTATTTTTTCTTCTTTTTTTTGTTTATTTTATTTATTTATTGTTTTCTCCCTTTAGTTTTTCTTATAGGGATGTCTACTATTAATGAACTCCCTAAGTTTTGTTTATCTGGAAGTGTTATTTCTTTCTTTTTTTTTTTAACTTTCATGAATACTCATTGTTTATTTAGAAAAGTTTAAAAAGCTCCCAGTGAGTTCATTAGTTATCAAACGCACATGAGTTAGACCCACTCTGCTTTGGTTTTTCGTCTTCATAATAAGTCAGCAAAAGTTGACATTTATCTTACTGGGCATTTCCCATTAGCCTGAACTGAAATAGATACCAAACATTCTAGATTCTTTATGGTGCACAGTATCTGGAGTCACAGCAATTTTAGAGACAAGCTAGTGCAATCAAGTAATTTTCAGTCACAGAACTGAGGCCTAGAAGTGATTTGTGCATGTGAGTAGCTAGAACCAGGACAAGAACTCCAGAACCAGGGACCACGTCAGAGTTGTTCCTACAACAACTGACACATTTCAGGTGGAAAAAACAAATCACGTAACTGAAAACCAAAATTTCAGTTACATAACTGTTTTATATTAGCTTCCTATGTATAAAGCACAAAAACTCAGCTATACATGTTATAAAATTATACAAACTTGACCTGTTTAAGGCCAAAAATTTTTATAAGGACATACTTATACAAATTTCATAAACGATGGCCATTTTTAGAAAAAGTTATATTTGCCCCCGAACATAATAGTCATAATTTGCTTTCAAAACAAACTCGAAGTAAAGATTGGACTTTAAGCTTCCAAGCTGATCTGCTTGTAACAGGTCTTTCACTTCTGGTAAGTACTCACTGAGCCAAATGCCATCTTTTAAAAGTTTCTGTAAGATCTTCACAAATATGCTGTCTTTAGATACTTCAATTGGATCATCTTTGCCATCAGAACTGGACCAGTTATCTCTCTGAAGAGCTTTGCAAAGGATCTCCAGTTTTAGATCACTTATATTTACATCTTCTTCCTCATCAATATATTCCAGCAAGTCCAAAGCTTTCTTGAAATCATATTCATTAGCTCTTCTATTTTCTTCACAGATATATAGACCAATGAGTTGCTTTGTGGTCAATACTGGCATCACACTGAGCTGTTTCTCCGCTAGCAGCTGTTCAGGTAGGGTCTCCTGATGCAGTAGAAGCGCTCTTGCTCAGCCATTTCTTCCATTTTTTCTTGCAGTATATCCTCTGAAAAGTCTGAAGCTAATGCAGCCAATTTACTCAAGCCAAGAAGGGTTTTTTTCTTCGCAAAGTAACAAGTTTCCATATTTGCCAAACTCAGAAGTGTTGCATGAGCCTTTTCTAATTCTTGGCTATTAATTTCATGTAACCAGCTGAGATGTTCATGAGCTTGCAAAAAATTGGCCAACTGTCCATGCTGAGAAATGGGCTGAGATAATAATTTGCCTCGCTTTCCTTTCTCCAGATACCAACGGAAGAGAAAGTCTGAAAAATTCTGATCAGCAAACTGGGTCATGTAGCGCTGGAGTCGGCTCTGGTTGTCAGTTTGCTCACACATTTATACCAAGATATCAAAGTCACAGTATTTCTCTGCTAGAGAAGCAGCCCACAGGTACTGGCCTAGTGTAACAAGAGGAGATAAAAGATCCGATCTTTTCTGTAGGTTTTCCATCTCCAGATTGTCCTATCTTTCCTGATTACTGGAAAGATAGGACAATCTTTCCACAGACTTAAGCTGAGAAACATAACCATCTAGGAGGCAATCAATCAGTGCTACCAGTTGCTCAGTCACGATGTTTCAGAGGTTGCTGTCTGCCTGTGGATAAACCACCCTCAGGACAATCTCATGCTGGTGCATTATTACTGTTTGGATGCCACCAGGACCACTCATTGCCATCCATGGAACATATTCAAGTTCTTTCTCTGGTGGTTCTTCTTTTCTATACAAAGAGTTTCTATTTTGGTGATAATGACTAGCAGCCTGCAGCATATCCTTGAGAATATTGTTCACGTTGATCACCACTTCAGTCCATTCAACGGAATCCAAAGGTGTATCCCTCAAGACTTGCTCCTCATGCTCCAGTAAGCACTCGCAGATGGTATCTACTTGGGATACCTCCCTGAAAAATACATCTGCAGGAGTCAGGTTGGATGAAATTTCATACTCCCTCTTGTTCAATATGGCTGTGTTGACAAGGTCAGAAAGCCGGGAGTGGTGGTTCTTGAGAAAAATGGTGGCTGACAGCTTTTCCACATGCTCACAGAGCAACAGTCAAGTGGTCATCGGTGTCCCTCTAACTAGAAAACTGCCTAGACATCCAAATAAGCCAACTTGATGAATAAAGTCCATAAGGAAAGAGCGAGCTTTCATCTTGTCTTCTAGCTGGTGAAGAATAATCAGTGATGCGTTGCTGAACCCAGGTACTTCCTCAGGGACAGACTCAGCCCACCATGGGTCAGACACTGGGTAGTCATCCATCAGGTCTACACTGATTTGGGTAACTGCCCTGTCTAGTTCAGAATCAGAATCCAAATCAGAGTGAGAAGAAAAGAGCTCTTCAACCACCATTTGAGCATGACCTAAATCTTTCCTGCAGTATTGCAGAAAGGCAGCTTTCAGCAACTTGATTTTATCTTCCTGGGCTATAGTTTCATTCTTTGGAGTGGTCTCAAAAACCATACTCACATTGTTTGGTCCAGCAACTGAAGATGCTAAGGACTCTTCCAGGTCTTCTGTCAATATGGACACATTTTCCCTTGAAGTAATAGACACTAGTCCACTGTTTCTAGAAAAAATGATAGGAACACCACCAAAGGCACCAGCACCTAAAACACTATCTCCTTGTGCATTGAAGACAGTTTTCTCCTGGGGAAGAGAAAATCTCCCAGTTCCTGTGGAGCACACATAGATAGCACTTTCGTTATACAGACATGCAGTCTGGTTTGAAAAGTTTGGGATCATTGGGCAGAGGAGAAGATGGTGCTATAGGAGCAACTCAGGATTGCAGCTCCCAGTGAAAGCGCAGAGGGTGAGTGGATGCCACATTTCCAGATGGATCTTTATTGCCCACAGACCAGGAGATTCCCAGGTGTAGGAGCCCCACGGGCCACCAGTGTGGCTGTTTTGGCTGGCGTGGCTGTTTCAGCCAGCGCCGCAGCGCAGCGCCACTCCGTACAAAATACATTGGTCTGGTTGCCCTGTTAAACCAGCAATTTGAGATTTGGGAAGGCAGATTAGCACATTCATCTGATTAAACAGGACTTAAACAGTAAGCCAGGCCAGGAGATTCCCAGGCAGTGACGTTGTTTCAGCCGGCGCTGTGGGTCACCACACGGGAAATCACACAGATCCCAGCGCCCTTTCAGCAGGCAACTGGAACAACTGGGAGAGAGTCAACCATTCAACTTAAAAACAAAAGGGCTCTGAGGCAGGGAGCCAGGTGATCAGGCTCGGTGGGTCCCACCCCCACAAAAACAAACAAAACAGCAATTGGAAATGCTAGGGGTTGAGAATTTCACAGCAAGCACAGCTGAACCCAGGATGGTGCATCTCGGTGGGGGAGGGGAGTCCACCATTCCTGAGGCACTCCACCCCTATGGAGGTACTCTGCCATTGCTGATGCAGCCTGCCATTGCCAAGGCAACCTGCCATAACAGAGAGAGTCTGCCATTACAGAGGCGAGCCACCATCACCACGGCAGTTCTAACCACACCCGTATAAACAGGACTACAGGGAATTACACACGGCAGCAAGGCAGAGCCTATGGCAGCAGGGCGGAGCCCACGGCAACAGGGCAGAGCCCACGGCAGTAGGGCAGAGCCCAGAGCAGCTCAGCATAGCCTCTACAGGCAGGCGGTGACCAGACTGCCTCCTTGCTGGGCAGGACAGTGCAACAGATATTCATAAATAAAGCCCTAATTCCCTGGGACAGAGCACCTGAGGAAAAAAAGGGTCTTTATGAGTTCTGCTGCAGCAGACTTAAATGTACCTGCCTAGCAGCCCTGAATGAACAACGGAGCTCACAGCCCAGCACTTGAGCTCCTATAAAGTACAGACTGTCTCCTCAAGCAGCTCCCTGACCCCCGTATATCCAAAGAGTCACCTCACAAAGGACTGATCAGACTGACATTTGGCGGGCATCATTCTGGGACAAAGATAGCAGAAGAAGAAACTGGTAGCAAACCTCATTGTTCTGCAGCTGCTACAGGTGCATCCGAGGCAAGCAGGGCCTGGAGTGGACCTCAGCAGTCCTGCAGCAGAGGGGCTAGACTGTTAGAAGGAAAACTAAGAAACAGAAATACTTCATCATCAACAATCTGGACGTCCACTCAGAGACCCAATCGGAAAATCAGCAACTACTCAGACGACACGTGGATAAATCCACAAAGATGGGAAGAAACCAGTGCAAAAAGGAGGAAAAAACCCGAAACTGGAACACCTCACTTCCTACAAGGGACCGCAACCCCTCCCAGCAAGGGAACAAAGCTGGATGGAGAATGAGTGTGATGAAATGACAGAATCAGACTTCAGAAGGTGGGTAATGAGAAACTTCCGTGAGCTAAAAGAACATGTTCTAACTCAATGCAAAGAAACTAAGAACCTTGAAAAAAGATTTGAGGAAATGATAACAAGAATGGACAACTTAGAGAGGAATATGAGTGAAGTGATGGAGCTGAAAAACACAACATGAGAACTTTGCGAAGAATGCACAAGTCTCAACGGCCAAATTGACCAAGCAGAAGAAAGGATATCAGAGGTCGAAGATCAACTCAATGAAATAAAATGAGAAGGCAAGATTAGAGAAAAAAGCACAAAAAGGAATGAACAAAGTCTCCAAGAAATATGGGACTATGTGAAGAGACCTAATCTATGTTTGATAGGTGTACCTGAATGTGACAAAGAGAATGAATCCAAGCTGGAAAATACTCTTCAGGATATTATCCAGGAAAATTTTCCCAACCTAGCAAGGCAGGCCAATATTCAAGTCCAGGAAATACAGAGAACGCCACAAAAATATTCTGCAAGAAGATCAGCCCCAAGGCACATAATTGTCAGATTCACCAGGGTTGAAATGAAGGAGAAAATGCTAAGGGCCACCAGAGAGAAAGGTCAGGTCACCCACAAAGGGAAGCCCATCAGACTCACAGCAGATCTCTCGGCAGAAACCCTACAAGCCAGAAGAGAGTGGGGGCCAATATTCAACATCCTTAAAGAAAAGAACTTTCAACCCAGAATTTCATATCCAGCCAAAATGAACTTCATAAGTGTAGGAAAAATAAAATCCTTTGCGAACAAGCAAGTACTAAGAGATTTTGTCACCACCAGGCCTGCTTTACAAGAGCTCCTAAAAGAGGCACTACACATAGAAAGGAACAACCAGTACCAGCCATTCCAAAAACATACCAAATGGTAAAGAGCATCAACAAAATGAAGACTCTGCATCAACTAACGGGCCAAACAGCCAGCTAGCATCAAAATGGCAGTATCAAATTCACACATAACAATATTAACCCTAAATGTAAATTAGCTAAATGCACCAATCAAAAGACAGAGACTGACAAATTGGATAAAAAGCCAAGCCTATTGGTGTGCTGTATCCAGGAAACCCACCTCACATGCAAGGATAAATAAAGGCTCAAAATAAAGGGCTGGAGGAAGATTTACCAAGCAAATGGAGAGCAAAAAAAAAAAGCAGGAGTTGCAATTCTCGTCTCTGATAAAATAGACTTTAAAGTAGCAAAGATCAAAAGAGACAAAGAAGGACATTACATAATGGTAAAAGGATCAATACATCAAGAAGAGCTAATGATCCTAAATATATATGGACCCAATACAGGAGCAGCCAGATATATAAGGCAAGTTCTTAATGACTTACAAAGGGACTTAGACTCCAACACAATAATAGTGGGAGACTCTAACACTCCACTGTCAATATTAGACAAATCAACCAGACAGAAAATTAACAAGGATATCCAGGACTTGAACTCAGACCTGGAACAAGCAAACCTGATAGACATTTACAGAACTCTCCACCCCAAATCCACAGAATATACATTCTCCTCAGCACCACATCACACCTACTCTAAAATTGACCACATAATTGGAAGTAAATCACTTCTCAGCAAATGCAAAACAACTGAAATCATAACAAACGGTCTCTCAGACCATAGTGCAATCAAGTTAGAACTCAGAATTCAGAAACTAACTCAGAACCACACAGCTCATGGAAACTGAACAACTGGCTCTTGAATATTGACTGGATAAATGATGAAATGAAGGCAGAAATAAAGAAGTTCTTTGAAACCAACGAGAATGAAGACACAACATACCAGGATCTCTGGGACACATTTAAAGCAGTCTCTAGAGGAAAATATATAGCAATAAGTGCCCACATGAGAAGAGTGGAGAGATCCAAAATTGACACCCTATTGTCAAAATTGAAAGAGCCGGAGGAGCAAGATCAAAACAACTCAAAACCTAGCAGAAGACAAGAAACAACTAAGATCAGAGCAGAACTGAAGGAGATAGAGACATAGAAAACCCTTCAAAAAAATCAATAAATCCAAGGGCTGTTTTTTTTTTTTTTTTTTGAGACGGAGTTTCGCTCTTGT